TATTAATTCTTCCTAGCCATGAGCATGGGATGAGTTTCCATTTATTAGTGTCCCCTTTAATTTCTCTTAAGAGTGACTTGTAGTTTTCAGAGTATAAGTCTTTCACTTCTTTGGTTAGGTTTATTCCTAGGTATTTTATTCTTTTTGATGCAATTGTGAATGGAATTGTTTTCCTGATTTCTCTTTCTATTGGTTCATTCTTAGTGTATAGGAAAGCCACAGATTTCTGTGTGTTAATTTTGTATCCTGCAACTTTGCTGTATTCCGGTATCAGTTCTAGTAGTTTTGGAGTGGAGTCTTTAGGGTTTTTTATGTACAATATCATGTCATCTGCAAATAGTACAGTTTAACTTCTTCTTTACCAATCTGGATTCCTTGTATTTCTTTGTTTTGTGTAATTGCCATGGCTAGGACCTCCAGTACAATGTTGAGTAACAGTGGGGAGAGTGGGCATCCCTGTCTTGTTCCCGATTACAGAGGAAAAGCTTTCAGCTTCTCCCTGTTCAGTATGATGTTAGCTGTGGGTTTATCATATATGGCCTTTATTATGTTGAGGTACTTGTCCTCTATGCCCATTTTGTTGAGTTTTTATCATGAATGGATGTTGAATTTTGTCGAATGCTTTTTCAGCATCTATGGAGATGATCATGTGATTTTTGTCCTTTTTGTTTATGTGGTGCATGATGTTGATGGATTTTTTAATGTTGTACCATCCTTGCATCCCTGAGATGAATCCCACTTGGTCATGGTGTATGATCCTTTTGATGTATTTTTGAATTCAGTTTGCTAGTATTTTGTTGAGTATTTTTGCATGTATGTTCATCAGGGATATTGGTCTGTAATTTTCTTTTTTGGTGGGATCTTTGCCTGATTTTGGTATTAGGGTGATGCTGGCTTCATAGAATGGGTGTGGGTGTATTTCCTCCTCTTCTATTTTTGGAAAACTTTAAGGAGAATAGAAAACTTTTTTTTAAGTCAAAGTGAGGCATTTCCTTCCAGTGCTTATGCACAGACTGAAGAGAATAACCGATTTTGTTTTTCTACAGGATACCCGAAGGACCTGATACAAGTATTTTCTCTGACTCCAGCTGTAACTGTGGTCCTAAGGGGGAGAGAATCCACGTTGGTCAACAGACTTTTGACATCACTTAATTTCACTGCTTCAGTATCTTTTATTTACTGATTGTTAATTAAGTAACACCTAAGTTGATAAGCCTTTTAGGGTTAATTAAAAGAGCAGCAGGAATGGCAGTTTAACTCTTTTGGCTTTTCTTACTTGGTAGGGTCACTCTTTTCAAGTCCACAAGTATTTGAGTTCTTATGTGTAAAAAAGAGGTCACAAAGATGGATAGGGGGAGAAAAAAGATGGGAATTTGCAAGATTTCAACCCAAGTGTCATAGACTCCTTTTCAGGTTTAATATTTGTTTGCAAGAATAGGAATATTTTAACTTGTAATAGTGCATATTGAACAGTTGCTAGCTTCTCTGCACTATTGATCCCACAACAGTCCTGAGGTAGACACTACTGTCTCCATTTTATCAAGGGTATTCTGAGGCACAGTGAGTTCAAATAATTTTCCAGAGGTCATACAGCTAGCTAGAAGACCAGGCATTACAGATATTCGAAAGTGTTCACTCTTTCCAGCAACAGTTCTCCTCAACTGTAGACAATGTTCTCTGGTTCATACTCACCCACCAGCTCTATGTCCAAGGACAAACACTGAGTTATAGTTTAAAAATTATGCAGAATATGGCAGGGTAGCTTTCCTTTCTTCAGTCTGCATGCATTTGGTTAGGACTCTGTGCTCAGTGGAGAGTGCTTGTTAGGAAGGCTGGTATACTGGAAGGAGCAACTTGAATTTTAAGCCTAATTATGCCTGTTGATCTCTCTGGCATTCAACAAATTTCTGAGTAGTAACTACTTTCAAGTTTCACCAAGCTTAAGGTTTATCATTTATAAAATGGAATAATATTGGATTACCTTGCCAAACTAGATTATAGATAAAATATATAGAACATCCGACACAAAGACCTGGCACATAATAGATGCTCAATAAATGTAACTTTTTATATTTATGAACACAATCCCTCCTCTCCTCTCTAGTCACAAAGTCTTAAAATTATTTCACTCATTATATTAATTAGTTTAAAACGTTTCCAATATCTAGGCAATGTTGTATGGTACAAGTTCTGGCTTTAAAGTCAAAACAGCTGTAATGACTTGGGCAAATTGCTTAAATTCTATTTGCTTACCTATGTAATGGGAATAACACAGTACCTATTTCAAGATTTCTTGTTAAGTGTAAATGAAATGCTGCCACTGTCTTAGCCTTCAAGATTTGTTTCCTTACTGCTAGTCTTCCTCTGCTATGTCTCAGATACTATGCTCAGATTAATCTTCCTGAGGGCCATTTTAATCATATAAAGACCCTCAGTGACTGCTTTTAACCTTGTAGACTTAAAAAGCCTAGATTCCTTATAGTGTACTGGAAATCACTGATTGGATTTCCTTAAATTTGTCCCACAGCTTCCAAAAGTACACTCTGGTTCTTGACACAAGTCTTCTGTCCTCTACTCACCATTTTCAACTCTGCTTCTTCATTTGAATCTGGGCTGTCTACTTAGCATGCCCTTTCTCCACTTAAGTTTCAATCTTTTTGAAACTGATTCCACCTATACTTACTACTGCTTTCTCCCTGAAGCTTTCATCCACATTGACTGTCCAATCCTTAGAAATTCTATAGAACTTCATATGAACACCACTAAACCACTTGTTTCTATAGTATTTTGTAATTATACTAAACAGTTAAAACTCAGTAATTTTTTGTGTGATATATGCAAGGCACTGTATTTATGTCTTAGTTATTCATAGAAAAAACTACATATAGAGTATAAGGACCTTATGTCTTAAACATCTAAGTTCCTACACAATTCCTACTGTAAAGCACAGCATACCCAGACAGATATAAACCATGTTAAAGCAACAGTCTTGTCAAGGTGTTCTAACTAGATTCTGGTTTAGATATTAAAAATTTCCCAACTTAAATATAGTAGCTTTAGAAATTGTATATCAGTTAACTGTTACTGTGTAATAAATTACTCCAACCTAGTGACTTAAAACAACAAATACTTATCTCAGTTTCTGTGGGTTTAGAATTTGGAAGTGGCTTAATTGGGTGCTTTTAGCTCAGGGTCTTTTATGAGGTTTTTTTTTTTTGAAAAACCTTTTATGAAAGGAATTAGGCTCCCCACCTTTTGAAAGGAGTGTCAATTTGTGGACATATTTTAAACCACCATGGTATGTTTAATTATTTTAAGTGTGTTCATCATAGACAAACTGGAAAATACGAACAAGCCAAAAGCAAAGGAAGAAATCATTATCCAATGGATTACATCACTACTATTTGGGTATATATAATTGCATTCTTTAAAATATATATGAACTTTCTCAAAATATAAACATACCAAGTATACTATTTTGTAAACTGTTCTTTCACTTGATATATTGTGAAGATACTTTTCATGTCAGGTATTATTTCATAGCATTTTAAATGGCTGCACAGCATTTCATCATAATGTATCATAACTGCAGCTGACTCTTGAATAACAGGTTTTTAACTATGTGGGTCCACTTACACACAGATTTTTCTCAAAAACAGGAAAATTTTTTGGAGATTTCCAACAATTTGAAAAACATTTTCTTTCATCTAGCTTACTTTATTGTAAGAATACAGTATATAATACATGTGTTAATTGACTTTATGTTATTGGTAAGGCTTCTGGTCAACAGTAGGCTATTAAAGATTTGGGGGAGTCAAAAGTTACATGGGGATTCTCAACTGCACAGGGGTTGGCACCCCTAATCCCCATTGTTCAAGGGTCAACTGTAATTCATTCTATATTGTAGGACACTTAGGAAATTTACAGGTTTTCCCTATTTTACACAGTTTGTTAAGTGAACGTCCATATTGCTGGTTTCTTTCACATTCATGGCTGTTTCTTAAATTCCTAAACCCGGAATTTCTGGAACAGGATTTGCAGTTTTAAAACTTCTAGATATCTACCACCTAATTTAAGTAGGATTTTTATTGGAGTCATTAAGAATCCATCAAGCCAAATGTCTGGGTCAAATACCTGTAACAACGCCTGCAAGAGTTCTTAGTTCAAATTTTGATGACTGTAAGTGAATTTATTAAGAATGACTGAAATTATGGAATGAGAAGTTGTTACATAAATTTTACTAGAGTGAATGTCAGCATATTTAACTAGCAAATTACAAATTATATATAGCAGAATTCTGATATTTTCAATTCCCACATTTTGTTATGTTTTAACCCACGTTATTAATTTGTTTTTTGAATAGAGATAATACATTAACCATTTCCAAATCCAAGATAGAAAATGTTGTCAGTAAAAGTCCTACTACTGTGCCACAGCTACCCAGTACCTGTGTACTGGCTACAGATACTTTGTGCATCCACAATATGGTCTTTTCATTTTACACAAATAATAGCCCTCTATACTCAATTTTTGCCCCCACCCCCTTTTTTTTCTTTTCTCTTGACAGTTTATCTTGGAAGTCATTTAACATCAAAATATAGAGCAGCTTCTTTATTCTTTATTACAGCTGCATATTATGTGACTGCCTTTCTTTTACCTACCAGTATTCTATTAAAGAATTCAGGTTGTTTCCAATCTCTTACTATCACAAAATAACCTTGTATAAATATCTAGTATTCTCTCTTCAATTTAGGAATTAATGACTTAGCTAAGTATGATTAAATTATCTCTATTCTGACTCTGGATGCCTGTCCATCTTGATTATTCAAAATTTTATTCACTCTAAGCTCTTCTTGCGCCAGGATGTCCTTTATAAGGCTCCTTTTCTCCATCTCTGCTTATGAATGATCCAAAGGCAAGTACAAAGTTTTATCATTTGTAAAACTTCATTTCTTTAAGAAGTTCTGTGTAATGAAACTCTGTTTTTGCATTATTTACCCTTTGGTTTCACAAACATTCTGCTGTTGTGGAAAGAATGCCTTAAATTCTGCTACCTCTGGTGGAAGAGGCAATTTTTTAATTGAAATCCAAGCAGAAATAAGAGGTTCCAACTCTTTTCTCTCCTTCATAAATCCCATCCCATCCCAAGGACTTTTTCCATGAAGCCTTCATTGAAGTGCCACTAGTCAGCTTTCCTCTACTGCAGAGGCTTTAAAATGTTACCGTTGAAGGGAACACAGTACAGCACGAAGAAGACAAGTAATGACTATAGCATCTTACTACACTGATGGACAGTGATTGCAATGGGAGAGGGGAGACTTGATAACATGCATGAATGTTGAAACCTTCATAAGACTGCCTATCAATGATTTCTTAATTTTAAAGAAAAGGTTACCATTAAAAGCATTTCACATCAAATACTACTAAAGCACACTCTTGGGGCCTTTGCAATTGCTGTTTCCTAGGGCTGGAATGCTCTTATCCTTGATAAACACACAGCTTGTATTCCCACTTCATGGACTCACAGGCTGCCTCTTCAAAGACTCCTGCCCTATCCCACCTCGAACTCCCTATCTCCCTTACCCTGCTTTTGCTTCATGTCACCACTACCTGGTTTATGTACGGTTTTTGTCTCCCCTCCCTGAATTTAAGCTCCATAAAGGTAAAGTCTTGTTTTATTTGGTGCTGTATCCACAGAACCTAGCCAGCATTTGTAGACATTCAGAACACTTAATTATCCGTGAATGAATGCTATCCCAATTATGAGCAAATTCTACACTATATATGATAGGGAGTTGAAAACATATAGCTATACATTAAGGCATTATTACTATCTGAGCTTAACTTTTGTTGACTGGCTCCACAGACAAGAACAATATATCTTCGTTCAGTTCGTACTACGTGCTCCCACTGTGGCTCAAAAACTATTTATCCAAATAAGTAACTTAATGCTGAGAAAGGTTAAATAACTTGCCCGAGGTCAGTGGCAGTCCCGCCGGAGATCTGACCCACTCTCAAGGTTAGATTTACCCTACTCAGATTCATAATACAAATGTTTGAAGGTAGCAGTGAAAAGTTTCCATAGGCAAACGGGTGAGGATTCCGACTCCGGAGAGTTTCCGAGGACGTTTGTGCGGGAACAGGAACTTCCGGTTTTCCTGGCTCCCGAGCTCCTGACGCAAACCGCGTAGGCCGAGGCGCCGCGGTGCCGTCTTGTTCTTCCAATGACCTTCAGAGCAGGCGGAGTCGTTAGCGAACGGAAGGACTCTACCTGTGCGGTGATTGGCCGCACGCTGGCCAGCCCCACCCCTCCATCTTCCGCTCTCCTGCTCTGCAGAAGCTGCGAAGGTTCCCCTGAGTCTTACCTTTCTCGTCGCGAAGCCGCCCAGAGTTGTAATGCCGCGTGGAAGCCGAAGCCGCACCTCCCGCATGGCCCCTCCGGCCAGGTGAGGCACCGCGGGGTTTGGGACCCTGCCCGCACCGTGACCAGAGGGAGGACACTTTAGGCATCGGCGCGGCCCGGCGGCGACTAGCGGAGGCCGCGGGTGAGGGCGAACGGAGGCCGATGTGCTGTGGGCCTGTTGCCTCCGCCCGCCGCAGGCCGGTTTTCAGTGGACTTTGGCTAGATTTCCCGTTAGTGGCAAACTTCCCAATTTTAAAGGTCAATGAATTATTACTTAAAATATTCTAGAGCTCATTTTAAGTTAAAACGGACAAGTTCTAGAAAGAAGTGGACTTTCGTAAGTGTGAACCGGCCAAAACACCAAGTAGGAAAAAGATATAGAAGAAAGGTAGGAGGGTAAAATCATCACAGTAAAATTCAGTGAATAATGTTTGAGGATCCACCATGGGCAGTGAGTGTTCAGTAGGGGACACAGCCATTAAGGCCTCACGTACACATGGTATGACCAGGTCCATAAAATACTTAAAAAATATACTGCCAATTACACTTTAACCGTAACAGCAGTAAACTTAAAGATACATTACATCTGTTTTACAGAAATAAGGAAACTGGAGACACAAAATAAGTGACTTGTACAAGGTCTCGCCATAAGGTGGGAAAGGCGGGTCTCAGATCCAAGTTTTCTGATAAATTCAGGACATTTAGCACAGTACATTACTTCTCTGGGCTAAAGTAGATTGTGTTCAAATAGTATGCTAGGAGTGTGGAGAGGGGAGTTTCCTTATGGAAAGAAGCTTCTGTCTACAGGATGGGAAACCACATTTTTATAGTTAGCCAGATGCCACCTTGTAAGAAATGAAGTAATAAACTTTTGACCTAGATTACTTGGGGAAGGATCCTCCAAGGACACAATCTGAAAATGGGCAGAGGGAGCGTATCATCTGTAATGATTTTTTAATCAGCACTGGATGTGTTAGTGAAATTGTCTAAAGCATCCAAATGTTCTACAGGTAGGAAATAGTTGAAATTAATTTTGGTGTAATGATTTAGGCAAGTCACTCACTTCCACTTAACTGGGCTTCAGTTTTCTCTGTAAAATGAAGGAACTGGACTAGATTATTTCTCCAGATGATTGCAGATTTTCATTCAGATGTTAGCAGCTTATTCAGACTGTGCTTGACTAAGACTGCAACATCCCACAACTTGCTGTCCCTCTTTTGTCTTTTCCTTAGCAGTTAAAACCATGTGACGTAGTTTACTGACTTGATTCCCTCAGTGGAATGTCAACTCCATAAGGCCGCTTTTTTTCCCTTGTTAACAGTTACATTCCCACACCTATAGTGAAATTTATCCCTAACATTTAAATGGATGAATTCTCTAAGGATCTTTTAAATTCTTAATATTTTATGATTTTTATGAAGTTTTGGGATGACTATACCATGGGTTATGTAAATACATGGGAATAGTTGCCAAAAAGCAGAAAAAGATAGTTTATACTTGGTGATTACAACCTTAAGGTCAAAGATAAAATGATCCATAGTTCGGGGAATTGTATTCTGTAGTTTTCTTATATATATATGTATATAATGGATATATATATATAGTATTTGTGTATAATAATTCAAAATGAAGATCCTGAGGTTTGTTTTAATATACAAGTTTTTTTAAGTTGACAATTTCCAAATCTGGTGGGGACTTCATACATATTTTCTGTACTTTGCTTTCACAGCCGGGCACCTCAAATGAGAGCTGTGCCCCGGCCAGCGCCAGCAGCAGCTCAGCCATCAGCAGCAGCTCCATCGTTTGCCGTTGGCTCACCTACTGCTGCTCCCCGGCAGCCAGGTCTGATGGCCCAGATGGCAACCACTGCAGCTGGTGTGGCTGTGGGCTCTGCTGTCGGGCACACTCTAGGTCATGCCATCACTGGGGGCTTCGGTGGAGGAAGAAATACTGAGCCCCCAAGACCTGACATCACTTACCAGGTACGATTTGGGACAGCATTTCCCTTCAATGTGTATCTCATGAGTCAACCTAGTTCTTTGTAAGTTCCTTATGTATAGTAACTGTCTGTAGTTTTAGAATCTACAGTGCTATTAACAGAAAATGGCTAATAAAAGTCATGTTTGGCAATTGAGGTATTGCATTAGGTCAGCATCGGGAAGGACTATACAAACTGTATCTCATCCTGAGGAGTAGAATTATAGTTGAACCTGATTCATTATGTAAAAGAGCCATTTCCCCTCTTTTAAATATTTTGTCTTAGTGATTCTTCTGATTGTTTTAATCTTAGTTAAGTAATCAAAAGTCTCTTTAATAGCTCTGTGCACTCTGATCTCTTACCTGATACTTGCCATTGCCCCTCTTTCTGAGATGTGTGAATTCTCTCTGATGAGCATGGGTGTATACTCCAGTATGTCTGGTATATTTAACACTCTCATCCATCTGGTCTTCTATAATAGTCACATTTTTTTTCCTCCGTGGAACTTTACTGGACCTCTGGACTTTAGATGCCCGGATAACCACTACACTTTATTTGCATCTTTGTTCTTGAATTTTCCTGATTACAACTGGAATTTTGTTAAAGCTCATTTGCAGTCATCCTTTAATTTTTTTCACTTTACATGTTAATTAGGTAGCAACTTTAATTTGCATCTTGTTCTAGTTCTGTTTCCTCAGTTAACCTCAAAGACCATGGATACTGCTCCTTGTTCAGATGTAAATCTGATTTCCTTTCTCAGTGGTCCTGAATGTTATGCCTTTGCAGGAGCCTCAGGGAACCCAGCCTGCATACCAGCAGCAGCAGCAGTTTGGCCCGTGTCACTACGAGATGAAACAGTTTCTGGAGTGTGCCCAGAACCAGGGTGACCTTAAGCTTTGTGAGGGTTTCAGTGAGGTACTGAAACAGTGCAGATTTGCAAATGGTACGTGATACATCAGTCCATGGTTGAACTTAACATCTATCTATTCAGTACCCTTAATGATATTCCTGGACCCTATAGAATTCAGGGAGTCTTCAGTACATAAAACTGACAAGTTGTTTAAATTATTCTTAAAATAATCTTAAAGTCTTCTAACAAGGAGCTGGTCCAGAAGTTTCTAGTCATTATCTTCAGCATTTCAGTTATGTTCTCAATCTGATTTTTCCTTAAGCAGGTATAGATCATGTGCCAGATCTTACTGTGGTTACTGCATGTGAATGATCTAGTCATAAAGCTTGTGAATATAAAATTACATTCTGTTCTCATCAAAGTTCAGGAAGGGCCATAAAGACTCTCGTCGTAAAGTGTTAGCATTCTGTACATATTATTTGAGAGAGAAGAGTTTATTAAATGCCTCAGTTGAACCCTGAGATTTGGGTTGTCTGGAATGTTGGCAGCCAACTTGTTTTTATGTAATTACCTCCTGTCAACCTAAGAATTCATCACCTATTAACAAATACATACTCCGACCTTCATTTAGGTAGGAAATGGAAAAATTAATCCTTTCAGGTGGTTGAACTGTAAAATTTTCCTGAGTTTATCAGAAATCTTTAATGAAGCTACATCTAGTAACAGTGGTCGTATTTCTTTTTCTAAACTTTCTATAGAAACACATGATTCGTCTCTCAGTGGTAGCAAGTGTAGAATTGAAGTTTTGTAGGTTGCAGGATGCCTTCAATACCTTATAAAAAAAAAAACCAATAACCTTGGGCTTTCATTCCCTTTCATAATTTGGACAGCTATTTTGTTAAGAATATACAGCTACTGCTCTTCTAACTTACCTTTTCTGTTTGCAGGATTAGCCTAATCAAGAAGTTCAAGTTGAAGACATGGAAAACCATCTCTCATGACCAAGTTAATTTAGCATAAAAATATAACTGTAGTGAAGACAAAGTTTAAAACCATCTCTGTTATTAGTAGCTTCCTTGCTTCACAATTGCAGTGGAAAAAGGTGTTCTTGCTCTATAGAGATTCATTGAGATGGTATTGAATTTGGGCTATTGTTTGTGTGGGCTCTTAAAACCAGCTTTTGTGATGTTACTGTTTGTGAATTAATAAAGTGATTTCTTCCAAAATGTGTCTTTTAAGTGTAAGGTCGTAAATTAGATACGCTATGTGCATGCTGAACACATGGATTTTGCAAAAGAACAAAATTGTCTCAACATGTCTTTAAATGTTTGTTTATAGTCTCTGGATATTAAGTTAACATTGATGCAGAAGATCCGGCTGAGCTCCCTGAGGAGCTTTTGTAGAAAAAGTTACATAAGAAGTAGCTTGCAGACACATATGCTGCTCACTAAAAAGGTGCTACAGGCCTTTGGAGCCAGTGTTAAGTAAACTGAGTGGTAACAGGAAACTTTGTTTAAAATATTAACTTCTAATCAGGTGAATGATAAGGGAAATGTGGAAATCAACCCATTACATGGGTAGCCAGGTCGCTACATGTTGCTGTTACCTTAGTATATCCAATGGCGTGTGTTGGAGATGAAACTATACTCTTGATACAGGTAGCTCCCTGCAAATGTTTTTCTTGTACTTAGGGTATTGTAGCTTCCTCTTCCAGAAAGACTCAAGCTAGCTGCAGTAGCCCTCTCCATGCTGTCTTGAGATGGACTCAGGAGTGCATCTTTTTTTTTTTTAAGTGAACCCAACTCCATCTCTCACAACTCAAAAGTGTTTTTCACTTCGGGTATTGGCCCTCAGTCTACATTATGTTCTGTGGTTTTCCCACTTTCAAATGTACTTTTCAGACGTTCTGATAACTGACCTTTCCCCCCCCCCCCCATAAGTATCAGACCTTATTTACTGCAAGGCGAGAGAAGTGCTGATGAATGAATGAATTATTTTGGCTGCTGCCTCCTATCCTTGGTGTTCTTGGGCTCTACCTAATCATTCAGTTCCCAAAAGGGGAACAAGGTACCCTGAGGACCTGAACGACCACAGACAATTCACTCCTGGCTTCACAGTGGACTCCTTTGCCCATTTTCCTGGAGGCTCAGGACTTCTTGAGTTTTTAATGCTGCTTATATCTAAGGTGTGATGGTATACAGTGGGTACCCAAATATTGTTGAGTCAACGAATCAGGAAAATGAACCACTGGCATCAATACAGTAAGTCTCCCTCATAGATGCCAGGGCTGTACAGGACATGGAGTAACCCACCAGGTACATTGTCCTTTTGCCCTGAGCTCAGGGGATTTTTGTCATGTATTGAAAGTACAAACCAGCACAAGTTAAGTCGATAGCTTAGAATTTTAAAAACTGGCTTACTGAAAAGTAAAAGGAGGAGATGAGGTATTTTCATCCTTGGAGCCAGATGTTACATCTCAAGTGGAGGCCTTTATGCAAAGTGAAAGAAATAGATGGTCAGCAATGATGTGGAAAGAACACTGGGGCTTCCAACTGAGGTTAATCTAGGCCTTCCTACTCAACTACTCTGACCTTTTACAAGTCCATTCTCTCTAAAGTTGGTTTACTACCAGAGTTTTGGGGTCCAAGTCAGCAAGTATGCAATACTTTGTAAAATGCTAATCAAATGTATGTGGGCCCAATATCTGAAACATCATCACCCCACCTTTAATTTGGTGTATTTAACTGTTTGAAAGAAGGTAGCTTTGGAATGAGGGGGAGCAGTGTCTAGAGTGTGCCAGCACATTGCATGCCTTCTCTCCAGTTCCAACACACTCTTGAAGTAGAATCATACTGCTATACTGATGGGGACTCCCACCCCAAGTGACCAAAGTTGCACGTGGCCAGAGCCCTTATGCTCTTCCTGGCACGTGGAGCCTCCTCCCAGTGGAAACTGCAGTCTGAAAACAAAATGGAATACTGGAGGCAGATCAGACATAGAGTCCTGAAGGTGGTGTCCCCCAATCTTTACGGTCTTCCTTTTGTAGAGCAGCCAAGCCCTCAGTGGGCCCTATCGTTCAGGTCCCTGTATCAACCAGGGCTGCAGTGTGGCTGCACCAGTGTGTTGAGGTGTTCGTGGCCCTGCCCTCAGCACATACAGAAATGGCTCCCAGAGAAGCAAGTGCATTTCTGGCAAGGCTGACTCATCTCCTCTGGGTCTGGAGGCTGAGTGAGCTCCAGAGGGAAGACTGGTCACTTCAGGCTGTCCTGCCTGCTCCCAGGCTGGCTGAGCTTCCCTCACCCTCCACCAGAGGTCATCCCCTGGTGAGATTGCCTGCCTGACACACTGTCTCTGCTGAGCCTTGGCCTGCATCCCAGGTTTGCAGTTGTAATTTATTTTTGGCACATCAGCCTTCCGTCATCAAGTAGCAAAAGTGCAGAGGAAGAGCAGCAAAATACTCTGCTCTAGTCACAAGTGTTTGCTCGGGACACTCTTCAGCCCTCCGTTGTCCCTTCTCCCCAAGGGGCTCTGGGGCCTTTGGGATTCCTGTCGAGTTCACTCAAAGGCCTGCAAGGACCTAACGGTATGTAGCTGGGTGCTGCTGGGTGAGTGATGGACAAAAGCCAGGCAGCAGGTGGGGAGAGGGAGTCTGTGGAAGAGAAGACATAAACCCCCAAATCCATTATTTCTCCCTTCTGAAGGCAGATGGACCCCGAAGAGTGGCAGCATTGACCCTTGAAGCCCCACTCCGGGATGTTTGTCTACAGAAGATGGGTCCCTATGATTTGTGTTTTCAGACTCTTTAGTTTGGGAGAGGGATGTTATGCTCCATAAAGGACCAGGCTACCTACTCCCATTTAGGGACCCTTTCCAAAGGGGTCTTGGGAAAGACATGGGTGGGGGGCAGGGGTGAGGACAGTAGACAGACACACAAAGTTGGCCCAAGTTAAATCTCCTGCAAGGGGATGGAGCAAGATAAACCTCCCCAAGCCCCCGAAAGAGAAGAGTGTAGCCAGAACTTGGGGAACATGGTCATGGCCAGGGAATGCCAGCTGGGATGGCATCCTGGGGTGGGTCCAGACATACTCTGCCCATGGAGGTCTGGGAGAAGGGCAAGACCTTGTGCTACCCCAGTTTGGGAGGTGGGGAGCACAGATGCCCATTTTGGGAACTTAAACGGACTTGCTAGGAAACGGGCTTGTTTTTACACAAAACAGACACTACTGAACTTGCTGGGGTTGCTGACTGGGGCGGAGGAGGCCTGAAAGCAGCCTGAGCAGCCCAGGCGCCTGCTGTTGGCAGAGACTTGTTATTCCAGTGCTTCCTCTGGTAACCAGGCGCCCGGCAGTGGGGTGCCAGGCTTCCCGGAACAGCCAGCCACAGGTCTGAGGCAGCCGGGCTGTTGCTTGGCTAGTCAGCAAGTTGGCCCCTTGGACAGGACAGGCCTTCTTTGGCAGAAGTGGGACTAGAGACAACTTAGGCCTGCTGCGTGGCAGTCTGTGCCCATTTCCTATCTGCCCCTCTTCCTGGCAGTAGAAGATTTTCTAAATTCCTCAAATCCTGCATCTGAGGTAGGAATTCAGTAGCTAGGGGTCTCTACATTCCTGAAGCCAAGTGGGCCAGCTTCCCAGCTCCATGTCCAGGCCTGAGTGTACTGGCTCTCTGTACAGGAAGCCTTCAGAGCTATTGCACGTTCATGTCTAGACCACTGCAATAAAGCAAATATCTCAATAAAGTGAGTCAAATGAAATTTTTGATTTCCAAGTGCATATAAAAGTTAGGTGTACACTATACTTAGTCTATGTGCAATAGCATTATGTCTAAAAAATGTACATACCTTAACTGAAAAAAAACTTTTTTTTAGCTAAAAAATCCTAACAATCATCTGAGCTTTCAATGACTTGTAATCACTGCACAGATCATCATAACAAATACAATAATAATGAAAAAGCTTGAAATATTGTGAAAATTACCAAAAGGTGACACAGCAACATGAACTGAGCAAATGCTATTGGAAACATGGCACCAATATACTTGCTCAGTGGAGGGTTGCCACCAACATTCAATTTGTAAAAAATGCAGTATCTGTGCAGCACGTGAAAGTGAAGCTCAATAAAACAAGGGATGATTGTACTGCTCCACACTGCGGAAGGACCACTCAGGGATCACTGGTCATCCTTTGGTAGGACATAGGGCATTCTGAGGACAGGCCCATCCTGCTAACAGGACTCTGGACCAAAGGGCTACATACCTCCAACTATTGACTCACATTTAAGGAGCAGCACCTGCTCTGTGCCTACACTGGCATGGTGGGGAGAGATGGCTCAGACATCCTGGAGGAGATCACACGTTAATGGAGGTGACCACAGCACACTGACAAGTGATACCCTCAGGGCACCTGCCACAGTGCTTCTCAAAGAGAATGAATCAGAGAGTGATTAGGAAAGACCTGGTGAAGGACAGAATGAATGAGGGAGGAGCAGTGGGAAACACAGAAAGTGTGTCCTGGAAGGAGGGGTGTTTTCAGGGTAGGACAGTTACGAATGGGGAGAATGAGGAGTGGCCATAGGAGCAGCATATTAAAATGAAATCATGAAGTTTCTCATCTTTTCCACAGAGAGCAGGCAGAGAAAAAGCAGGACCAGCCTCGTCTCCATTGAGAGGAAAGGAAACAGCACTTCAATTTGTCCTCTGCAAAGTTTCTTCATGGTTCTTTATAAAATCAAGAGTGTGCTGGTCTTGTCAGAACTAACCTTGGCTGACTGTCTGGCACTCCTACTAGGGGAGCTGTAGCTTACAGTGAAAACATCTAGGGAGCCACATGGTCACCTGGGGGGTCACAAGAGTTTATAGGCAGTGGGATGAAGCAAGCTGGACTCTTTCTAAAGCCTTTTTCAATTCTTAAACATTTATTTTGAACATTCACAATGGGCCAACCCTGTACCTGGAGATACAAAAATGAGTGAGAATATGTTCAGCCCTCAAAAAGCAGATCCCCTAGTCAGGAAGGCTGACAGTTGCTTTGTGTTCTCCTCCCAAAGCCACTCAGAACCACCCCAAGGCTGAGCATGACCCAGGAGGAGGCACTGCCAGACTCACATTCTGCACAGGGCTTCTACGAGAACTATGAGCCTAAAGAGATCCTTGGCAGGTAAGGCCTAGACTTTCTCCACCAAGTACTGGCCTAGGCTCTAGCAAGCTCTGAAAGCTGGAGCACTTTCTGCCTGACCCTGAACACTGACCCTGCTTCCATCCCCAAAGCACTGTCCACTTGGAGAAACCCTTAGTTTGGTGTCCTGCCCTCCTGAACCAGGGCAGATGAAGGGAGTATAAGAGCACCCAGATCAGAGACCTCTCCCAGCAGGGTTCCCCCGGTGCTGTTGATAAGTACATCTAAACCCAGCTTTGGGCCAGTGCCAGGGATCAAGCATCAGAGGGAAGGTTGTGACCCTAAGAAGGTACAGCTTCTTCCTATGTGCTGAGAAAGAGCACTGAACTAGGAGTCAAAGAGGTTTGAGTCCAGGCTTATTACTTATTAGTTCCAGGCAAATCACTCTCTCTGTGCCTTCTTCATCCTACCATCTCCAAAAGCTCACCGGGAGTTGGGGGCAGGGCAGGACACCTCTGCTGTGGCCTGGACCTGGGACTCCCCCCTGGGGTGAGGACCTCCAGGACCATCTGTCCTCTGCACCCCCAGAGGAGTTAGCAGCGTCGTCAGGCGCTGCATTCACAAGCCCACGTGCCAGGAGTATGCTGTGAAGATCATTGACATCACAGGAGGGGGCAGCTTCAGCTCTGAGGAGGTGCAGGAGCTGCGAGAGGCCACGCTGAAGGAGGTGGACATCCTGCACAAGGTCTCAGGGCACCCCAACATCAGTGAGTGATGGCCCCAAGCCCAAGCAGGGTGCTCCACCATGATTCTGGGAGAAGGACCCTGTTTGAATAACCCAAGTTGGGGAGTGTGGCCCTACCATGAAGCCAGCCAGAAGCATGCTGGTGTCTCCTGCACCAAGGATGCCCAACAGTGCCCTGAGCCTTAAGGTCCCCAGCTCCACCCTCACTGCTTAGAGATCTGGCTCTGTCCAAGTTTCTCTTCCAGACAGACAGAAGGAGTTCCAGGCAGGGCTGAGGCAGGGTTGGGGAATGGAAGTGAGAAGTGCCTGCACCTGCCCTCTCCCCTGGCAGGCCAACTTGAACACCATCTTCTTTGGAAGTCAGCCTCCCACTTTTGAAGTCAGCCCACAGCAACTTTAATTCCCTTACTCCTGTTCCCCTGCTGCCCCTGCCTAGACTCCTCTGCTCCTTGAGACGAGTTAACCATTTCCATTTCAGTACAGCTGAAGGACACTTATGAGACCAACACTTTCTTCTTCTTGGTGTTTGATCTGTAAGTAACCAGCCCTGGAACCAGCCACACCCTGGGGCCTATCAGAGAACCTCCTACTGAGGTCCCCCCAGTGCTTCCTGGAGACCAGCAGCCAGCCTGCTATACTGTGGATGCCAAGTAGGATCACAAATGCTTTAAGCAGATCAGCCCCTGGGGTCAGGCTGCCAGGTTCTGAATTCTGTGTCCACCACTTATGGGCTGGATGATTTCTTTAAGTATCAGTTTTCTCAGCAGTGTTACAGAAGTAATAATAAGGGCAGAGTGACTGACACAATGTAAATACTAGTAATCAGTAATTACAATGATGATGACAGTGGTGATGACATTCAATACTTACTCTAGACATGGAGGATATAGCAATGAGCCAGACACACTTCATATAATAATTTTCATAGGGAGTGAAGAGAAAGCAATCAAATAAGCCATGGGGCACATGGTTATGTATATGTACATACATGTAAAGCAAAACAGGGGCTACAAGAGGTAGGGCTTCTTCAGATGGAGCAGTCAGGAGGTGGCCTGAGCAGAGACCTGGATGAAGTGGGGGAGGAATCAGAGCCAAGACCTGGAGAAGGAGCTTTCCAGCAGAGGGATGAGCCAGAGCAATGGCCCAGCTGGAGGGCTCAACATGCTAGAGGAGCAGCGAGGAAGTTGGGGTGGGGGACTGAAGCAAGCTGTGGCAATGGCGGGAGGCAAGGTTGTCAGCACCAAAGACCAGATTCTCCAGCATTTTAGCTATGGTAAGGACTTGGAGGACCAAGAGCAGGAAGGTGATGTGATCTGACTTTTGAAAAGGATCCCACTGACTGTAAGGAGGCAGGAGTGGAAGAATACCAGCAAGTATTTTTAAGCAAGAGGCCCACCAGGAAGGCCAGTGGTCAAATTTTATTTGGGGTTGTGGTTCCAAGATTGACATCATCAATGTCACTATTCCCCTGCTTCTGCACCAACAGGTGCAAAAATCAGCTCAACACAGGGCTGCTGCCCACTGGGGGAACTATGAGCATTTTAGCTCTGAGAGCCTCTGTTTTCTCAAGAAAGGACTAGTGATACTAACTACTTCGCTTATCCCCAGGCTCTAATCATCAAAACTGAACAAAATAAAGTGCTCTGTGAATGGTGCATCCAGACATCATTTTTATTAGAAATTTTTCCAAGGGAACTCTCCAGCTCCTTGTTGAGTCCTCACAATAACACTGCACAAATCATTGTTGTAGGGGTGTCTCAATATCTCCATACATAACAGCTAACTCAGGGACTGGATTTCCTGGAGAAAACAATTCAAATAGATTTTATATTGTTGGAACATTTCATATTGTAGCCAGACCAAATATGTGCAGTATTATTTTACTTGGAGACACAATTTAGCTTGGCATGTGTGTCCAATTAAACCACAAGCTCAGGGAAGGCAGGAGGCTGTTGATGTGCCCTGCACAGTCTCCAGTGCTTTCTGCTGCAGCCGTGCTAATAGTGAGTGCTCCTAGTGTTTTTAAAATGAAAAAAACTAATTCACACATTGCCTTTTAGGAACACAGTACAGATGCTGTATAAAACAAGGCTCACTGCTATAAATAAGAGGTTGTCTCCTCAAACAGATCCCTCCTCCCTGCCCCACAGGCTCAAGGGTTTTCTTGCCTCTGTGACACTGGCCAAATCCCTTGTGCCTTGGGAATCCCACTGTTTTCCTTGAAGAGGCAAGTGGGAGGGGTAGGATGCACTTTGCCTATTTAATTAATGGAGACTTTCTGTGATCCCTCCAGACTTGACCAGCTGCAACCGTCCCAACTCTGCTCAGTGGTTCTGTCCTGTAGAGCCCTTGGGAGCAGCTCAAATGTCTCTAACCTTTGAAGTCACTTGGGGAAACTATTTTTAACACTGTCCTGAGTTGCCCTTTAAGGCGTAACTAGCTTGTTCTAACAGAAACCTCTTTGTAGATCATCCCAAGGAAGGAGAAGATTGAATCCTGAAATAGGCAAAATGTTTTTCCTCCAACACTTGCACTTTCATTTGTTCCTGGGAAAAATTAGGATATTCTTGTCCTTCTCATCTCAGTCTGAGGCCTTGGTCCAGTGGCTCAGTGGCCCTGAAAGACTGGAGTCTATGCTGTCACTTCCACAGATGGCGGACACTCACATGGTACTATCCCACCCCTCCAGCATCCCTTACTCTTCTTCCAGTCTTCCAGGACAACTTCTCCACTCACTTCCCCAGACCTTGGCCCTTCATAGGGAGAGACCCACTTTGCCTTGGGAGGTATGAGGGTAGGAAACAGCTCTCTGGGGGTGGGTGGTCTTGGGACCCTCTGTCTCCACAGGATGAAGAGAGGGGAGCTTTTTGATTATCTTACCGAGAAGGTCACCCTGAGTGAGAAGGAAACCAGGTAAGGATCCATTTGCCTCTCTCCCCACTCCCTGCCCCCGAGCCTGTTGCTACAGGTACCAAGGTCTTGGAGGGGGCATGGCATGCACTGGTCTGGGCTGGGGGTGTGCACTGCTGGCTTTTGTAGCCTCCCTCTCTCCTTGGCTCAGCCTAGATGGTCCTGGCCTGTCCTGAGTGCTCCCTCACTTGCAGTCTGGCTGCTATGTGGGCTTTGGTTTCCCTGCTTGTTCCCTGCCCCTGCAGAGGGATAGAGTAACATGTGCCTGTCCCACTTCAGAAAGATTATGAGAGCCCTGCTGGAAGTGATCTGCACCTTACACAAACTCAACATTGTGCATCGGGATCTGAAGCCTGAGAACATCCTCTTGGATGATGACATGAACATCAAACTCACAGACTTTGGCTTTTCCTGCCAGCTAGAGCCAGGAGAGAAGCTGCGAGGTCTGGTAACATGGCCTTGGCCCATGTCAGGGCCTTAGACTCCCTCATCCACTCTCCCAGGAAGAGACTACCTGGATTTCTCCCTTTGTTCTTCTCCCCCCAAAACAAAAATTTCATTTCAGAGCTAGGTATCTTTTCAGGTAAACCCTCTTCCCAGGATTGAGCTGAGCCAGGCTCCCACTGCCTGAGATCCATGCCAGGATGACATGACCAGGGAGCCAGCAGGCAGCCCTATGAGCCAGCATCTGCCCATGCCCATGGCCCTGAAGTTGGCCAGTGTTAGAAGTCCCAGCCCAAGCACCATTTCAGTTCCACCTCTGTTGTTTCTTTGGACCTTTCTCTTCCAAGTGTCCCAGGCTGACCTATCTTGATGGTAACTACTCCTGCAGAGGTCTGTGGGACCCCCAGTTACCTGGCCCCTGAGATCATTGCGTGCTCCATGAATGACGACCACCCAGGCTATGGGAAGGAGGTGGACATGTGAGTGTGTTGGGGGGAAGGAGGTGACCCGTAGGGACAGGTACTCCCACAGCCAGGAGCACCTGGCTGGGGAAGGGAGGAAATAGTGGGAGCTCTGAGTGGCCCTACTACCCTTTTCCCTGTGCACCTGGGGCCAGGTGGAGCACAGGGGTCATCATGTACACCCTGCTGGCTGGCTCCCCACCCTTCTGGCACCGGAAGCAGATGCTAATGCTGAGGATGATCATGAGTGGCAACTACCAGTTTGGTTCACCTGAATGGGACGATTATTCGGACACCGTGAAGGATTTGGTGAGAAGCCAGGCCCTCTGGCTCCCGGGCCCATGCATGGGGAAAAGTCCACAACGCAGGAAGGAGAGGATGCCATGCCACAGGATGGGGGAGATTGCCAGGAGGGACCCCAATCTTTGGAAGTGCTGGTGAGGGCCCTGCCTTTTGGTTCAGGTTTCCCACTTCTTGGTGGTGAGTCCCCAGAGCCGCTATTCAGCAGAAGAGGCCTTGGCACACCCCTTCTTCCAGCAGTATGTGGTAGAAGAAGTACGTCACTTCAGCCCCCGGGGCAAGTTCAAGGTACTGAAACTCCCACCCACCGAGGGCCTCGGGGCAGCTGCTGCTGGCCCTGAAGTCCAAGCCTACAAGTCCTTCCTTTCCCCAGAGTTTCCAGGGTACCTGCCCTTCCCCTCCCACCCATTCCTGTAATGGGTCCAGTTCAATTTCTAGCTCAGAGGACAGATATTAAGTGACTGGCTCCAACAGCCTCATCCCTGCAGATGTGGAGTGGAGGGGTAGGCATGGGAGTGGGAGGGACACTAGGAAGGGCCCAGCAAAAGCCGTGCAATCTTCTTGGCAAACAAGCTCAGGCCTCCCGCACTGGATGGGGAGGCAGACAGGCCCCCAGGGGCTGGGTCCAGTTCTCAGTCCTGGATTTCCACAGGTGATCGCTCTAACAGTGCTGGCTTCAGTGCGGATCTACTACCAGTACCACCGGGTGAAGCCCGTGACCCAGGAGATTGTCATCTGTGACCCTTATGCCCTCCGGCCTCTGCGCCGACTCATTGATGCCTATGCTTTCCGAATCTACGGCCACTGGGTGAAGAAGGGCCAGCAGCAGAATCGGGCCGCCCTCTTTGAGAACACACCCAAGGCTGTGCTTCTCTCCCTGGCTGAGGAGGACTACTGAGGGGCTGACACGAGGGGTAGGTAGGTGCGGGCCAGCAGGGAGAAAAAGCCACAGAAATGTAGCTGAAGGAGTGAGATCATGTCCGGCCTCTGTCCAAAGGGGACACTTGGCCCTGGCCAGAACTCTTGGAATTGGGGCCACTATCCCCTTTCAGAGGCTCTGCACAAGAAGAGGAGGGTGCTCCCATTACACATGGGAGGTGCAGTGAGGGCCAGGCCCCACAGAGTGGGAACTAGATGTGGTTTGAGAGTCAGGAGCCCTTCTGCTTCTCCACTTCCCAGCTCCACTGTACCCAGCTCATTTCTCCTCAAGGGCGACCCAGAGTTCCTGACACTCAGATGCACTTCCCTTAGGGTCCTAGGGTGAGGATAAAAGACAGAACAATCTGACATACACAATCACAGGAGATTTTACTGATTTCATGACATCTAGTGCCACCAAGGGAGCATGTTCTTCTCTGGGAACATGTGTTTGGAGGCATATGGAAGGCATATTAATAGAAAGGGAAGCTTCTGGTATTTGTCTTCATGGAGTTATTTACTTTTTGACTCACACGATGTGTAGTTTCTCCTGGGAAGTCATTTGGTTTTCCTTACCTTTTAAGGCTGTACTTTGAAGAGCCCAGTTATTGTATTTTACATAGAGTAGAAAGTAGGTTCCTTCAGAGGCACATGAAACACTACAAATGAGGCAAACGAAGGAAGTATTCCTTTTATGGCAATTTGCTGGGAAAATAAAGAGGACTGGGGAAATTCTCCTGTGAGAAAACAACGCCAGATCCCTGAATCAGATACTGAGAAAGGAGAGGAACACCTTTAAAAGTTTTAACAAAACACCTTTCAGAGCACTCTGCCCCAGTTTGAGTATTTGGTCTCTATCTGGTTAATATTTGACCTCTAAGAGAAACACCCAGCTCTTGGACACAATCAGTAAGTTCGGTCCCATCTCCAAGACACGGTGGCACCCCTCCCCTGAGGTCAGTCCTTTCCTGCTCTGGAGAGAGGTGCCTGCCACAGAGGGATGGGGAAAGGGACGGTGGTCATTCCTGAGGCTGAAGTTGAAGAGCTTGGAGTTTGACTGTGTTTGGACTGTGGCCAGGGAGTGATATGGGTACCACAGGGGACTCGTGTTGGCTCTGCATGGCTGCTCACAGCTCCCCAGGCAGGCGGCCTACACTGGAAGCACAGCAGAAACCTAGGTTGTCTGAGGCTGAATCTGGAGTGTTGCCCATCCTGCCAGCAGAAAAAGGGAGAGAGAATGTACATTTGTTGAGAAAGAGTACTGGGCCCTTACTTTCCTGCTCATCCTCCTAGGGAACTGCTGTGGTTTGGGGTGCTTGAAGATTGGGGAGGGCATGGTCTGCAAAGAAGCCCTGGGTGAGGGCACTCCTGGGGTACAAAGGATAAGGAGGGACCCAGGACAGGGTGGAGGAAGTGAGAGTGGTCCTCAGAGATTGCCCTGGAAGGCAGGAAAGGCAATGACTAATAAGTTTGATCCCCCCCAAAAACCCCAAATCAAAATAAACATTGATTGTCCATAGTTTAGAATAACTCAGCAGAAACAACTTGTCAGCAGGAAGTGGGAATTTCATGGTGCCAATCAGTACTTGACACTTTTCAAAGAACTTTCACCTTTCACCTATATTCATATTTCTTCATTGCCATTTCCCAACTGCTCTGGAAGGCAGGATTATTTGTTCACATTAAACAGACCCAGAATCAGATACTAGAAAGATTTAACTGTCTTGCCCATTGCCAACCACTGCTTGAGCAGCATGACAGAATCAGTGGTAAACTCAGTTCCCAGGCCTGTAGCTTCCCTACATTTTGTCTTAAAAAAGGAGGTGAGGAAACCCACATGCCTCAATGTGTCAAAGAAATGTCTGCATACCTGATACCCTGAGGCCACGGAAACAGTGGCCTTGCTACAATCTGTATGGAACAAAGGAGTAGAAAGAGTCCTTGAAGGGAAACTTGGGAGCCTGGGACTCTGCTATTCAGGTGTCACCACTAACCATCTGTGTGAAATAAGCAGGACCACTCCAAGTCTATTTTTCCTTGATTGTAAAACAAAATGGTTGTAGAAAATGACTTTTCATGTGCTTTCCAGTTTAAAGAGTCAGTATTTCCATGACCATTGGCCATGACCCACTGATGTGGCCACTCCACTTCCCTCCCTCAGCAAACCTAGCTGTGAGGACAAGAGGAGAAATCCATATAATTAAGATGTTGGACACAAAGTCTCCCTTGGTGCTGAAAGTTGGCAAGAAAAGGCGCAAGGTGTCCTGGGCTCTTTTGCTTTTCACAACAAGGGCTGCTTGCTTTCTTTGCTGTACCCTCAACTCCTGGTGGAGGCAGAGGTGTGGAAGCAGTACCAACACAGCTCTGGTGCCACCTGTACTCTGGGATACAAGGACTCGGCCCTCAGCCTCTCACCTGGTGATGACCCGGGCCCAGTGATTTGCAGAGCCATCAACTGTGTCGATCCAGGATGCACCCCGGAGGACAAGCATGTCCTGGTCAGCAGCCTGGTATGGTGAGGCTGTCTTCTCCCACACATTGCCCATGAGGTTATAGAGCCCTGCAGCATAGCAGGTGGGTCAGTCCCTCACTGGAAGTACCACACCCTCCTGTCCTACTCATCAGCCCTGGGGAGAAAATACTTCCCTGGTGGTGCTTCTCTCTGCCTCGTCTATCAGACAGAAAGATCCCACCAAACAATTTGTGAGTGTTGACAGGAACCTGATGGGACATCTTACCATAGTTATTCTGTGGGGGGAAAGCATTCACTGGGGAGACCCCATGGAAGCCATCCTCAGCCTTGTCACCCTTAAGGAACTTTCCCTGAGTGGGAGAAAAAGATTTACCATCCTGTCCCAAGGCAGGTGTTCCTTCCTGCCCAAGGGAAAACCAAGGTGATTTTGCTGTATTATCTGGAGTAGGGGGAAAGGCATAGGGAAGCGACCTGAGGTTCCCATCCTCAGCTCCCAAACCAGCTGCCTCATGCCCCCACATGACCTCCTGGCTGGATTTAGGAAGTGGGTGGTTACCTGGGCCCACCCTTCTACTTTCTCTGCCCCTCTGCATCAAACCCTGTGCCATGGTGCCTAGGGAAGAAAGGATCCTCTTCCTGTCCTCTGTGCCTGGCACACCCCTTATCAGGAATATCGGTGCCCATGCTGTGCTCTCCTGTACCAGCTCCTTCCCTCCTCCACCACCAGGTTTAACTCACCCACCTGACTCTACCTTCCTCATCTGTTCTTCTTTACCACCAAAATTCTTGAAAAACCAACATATATTTGCTGATGCAATTTCTTCAACTTGTTCATTCTTTCTATTGTTAAAACTGGGGCTCAGTTGCCACCACACTATGGAAGCTGCTCTTACTAAAGGGAGGAGGAAGAAATCGTAACTTACTAAAAATCTATTTCATGCTAGGGCTGCTATATTTATCTCTTAATTTAATCCTTACAAGGTTGTAAGGCAAGATTTTCTCCCTTTAAGAACTAGCAATTGAGGCTCAAAATGAATAATTTATCAAAGATTGTACAGTGAGTAAGGCAGATGTGTTTTTCCACAAAGCTCTGATCCCAAGACCATGTGAATGGTTAGTAGCTGCAGGCCCTTTTCAATGCTTCCTCCTAAAATGCTGCTGCTGTGTTCCTCTTACTTTGCAGAGTCTTCCTGGGAAATAATCTTACCTAAGGTACATGCTGATGACTCTCAGCCCATTTGCTATGACCCAAACTGTCCTAAGTGCTCCTATTTTCAACCTTTGACTAGGCATACAACTGACCTAAAGGCATCCTAGCTAACCTAGGGACAGAACTTGACTCTAAACTGATCAAGTTCTGTCCCTCTGACCCAATATGCATATTATCCATCCTGGATAAGGGTTGCACCAGCACCTGGATAGTTCATGCTTGAATCCGACTCTCTTCCACTTCTCCACATTTGATTAATTACCAAACCTTGTCTATCTTCTTGGGCATGCCTCTCAATTCCACTTCCACTTAATTCAAGCATTCATAATCCCTGGGCCATTGTCACAGCCTCGATTAGAGACCCTCTGCCCCCAGTGCAGCACTGTTTTATCTGGCCCTGCACAAATGAGCAATGATTAGTATCCCCCTGAATCAAATGATGTTGTTACTCTCATTTAAAAACCTCTGTTCCCACTGCCTAGAGGGTAAAATCTACAACCATATCTTGACATACCTGGTCCTGCATAATCTGCCTCCAACCCATTGTCTACCTCATCTCCTACACCTCCCATTTCCTGTGCTCCTGCCTCTCTGAGTTTGTCATGTTTCCAAACACACAGTACCCTCTCCAAGTACAATGCCAACACTCATGTTTCTTCTGCCTGCAATGTCCTTTCCTCTGCTTTTTACTTGGCAAACTCTAATCAGCTCAAATGTCTCCTTTATGAAGTCACCCCCAGGACTGGCAGGCAGCCCTTTCTGAGCACACTGCATATCTTTAGCAAGTAGCACTACCACACTGTCTTTTGCGTTACCAGTTACTGGTTGCCTCAGAACTCAAAATCCTCTGAATCTCTCAATGCCTAGCTTACAGCAGGCCTCAATCAATGCTTTGAGAAAGGACAGGCGTGAGGAGTGTATTTCTTACCTGCCACAGGTTGGTGTGGTTTGGCTGGAACTGGTTACCCCATGGGTAAACCTGACCTGCCAGGAGAACAAGATCACAGCAGAGGGAGAGGTGAAGAGTTGGGTAAGAAGGGAAAGACAGAGAGAGGGAGGAAACACAAGGAAGTCAGAAGGCAATGAAGAGTGAAATTACCTTTATTTCCCATGTCTGTCCCCTTCATTCACTGTATTGCATTCAGAACCCCTGGCCTCCTGATTTGCTCCAGGACAGTGCAATCTGAGGTGTGGTTCGACTAATGTCAGTTCTAAAAACTATTTGTTACCAGTGCATGTTGACATAAATACAGGAATTGAGAATAAGCATTGAGAAACTTGTTAAGTGGATTTAGACTGGATAAACAAACAAGCAACCTCACTTATCACATTAATAACTTAGTTGGTACAGCCAGTGTTCATTCAAAGAGTGCAGAGGTCCTGATTATGGCAATTGCTATTTCACTCATAACTTTTTGTTCAGTTAGGATTGCAGAACAACAAAGTTATGGGCAAATAGTGATTCTTTATACTACTATCTATACATCTATGGAAAAAGCAGTTTGGGTAATTCTTTTCTTTTTCCTACATATTTTATTATATTAATTGAAATGTAACATGTCTATGGAATTGCCAAGAAAAACAAATTCTATGTTTTTCATTTGATTTTTCCAGTTATTAATTTTTATGGCTTTATTTTACAGAAGTACTGGTCTGGGATGGATTAGAAGTGAAAACAAACACTGGCCTTCACCACACAGTTAAGGCAGCACTGGACCTATGGAGCACAGAACCCACCCTTCAAAGTGCCCCATGCAGGGCAGGATGAGAGAATAAAGGGAAATGGCCTGGACATCTCTACACCCTTCAAGCCCCACTGTTTCCCCCGCCAAGCACAGTAGGCACGAGCATCATTCCAGCTCACATGTACCACTGGAAGCTCCAGTCTCGGATGCCAGAGCTGGGACCTGCAGGCTGATAGCAAGAATGAAGTGAGACAGACAGGCTTCTGGGAGCTCACCGAAGTCTAATGAAGGCTAGGCTTGGGGTGCCTCTGTTCAGCTTTTACCACTAGATGGAGCAAGGAAATCAGAAAAGTCAGCCTGGTGAATGAGGAGAAGTACAAGAATGAAAAAGAGGAGACTTAACATGAGACATAGGAGAAAGAGCAATGGGAAAAAGGATTAGGACAGAAGAAGCAGGGCTGCTTGGCTGTTTCCCTGAAATTTCTCTGCAATCCTTTTTAACTCAGTATTCCTAGATGGGCAAGGAGTCTAGGGAAGCCAGACCTCCAGAGTTAAGAGTCAACAGGGTTAGAAAACAAGGTAAAGGAACCACGTCTTACCTGCCTCCAGAATGCCCTTTCTACTGGAAGCCACCAGAGAGCAGACTGCAAAAAAGGAGAAGCATGACTACATGATGCTCTGACCCAGCCAGGGTACCTTCCTGACTGACTCACTAGCTGGGAGAGCAGACTCTGGGCTGCAACTCAGGTGGCCCATGAGAAGTTGTGCCGGCAATCTTTAAAGTGAGACAGCTCACCACCCTTATTAGAGGTGGCCTCTCAAAAAGTTCTCTTGCCAGGTCAGGGATTATCTTGAATCTTATATGTATATGGATCTCTACATAGTCTCACTATGCAGGAAGGGTTAACTTCCTGGGAGTGTGAAATCATCTGCTTCTCCCAGGAAGGTTTTCTCTTGCTTGCTCCCTACCTCAAGCTCTCAGGTTGGTTTACTGCAGCCCAGGTGACCCTTTTTCCTACAGGATTCTCTGTCCAGGTCCCACACCCATGCCCTCAGCTTGCAAGCCCAGGTTCTCTCACTTCCATTTTCTGGGTTGCTTTGTTTCTATGCTAATCGGAGACAAAGTCCTCAAACACAAAGCTCCATCCAAACATCTCAGCCTCTGTCCGGTACGTTTTCTCCCTGACAAACTCCCTGAGAAGAAATATTTCACTTGGCTCAGCTGATAGGATTCTGCTCCCTAACCTCACCCTCTCCTGCTCCAGAAGACCTCATATACCTTCATCCTATAAATCACATTATCACAGTTTTCATGAACTCCAAGGAATTAACCTGAAAGCCTGAGCAAGAGATTTTCTTTTAAAAAGCTATTGCTATAGGTGCAATTCACACACAGCAAAACTCACTATTTAATGCATAGTTTTACAAGTACTAACAGAGCATATAGTCACTATCACTATCAAGATACACAGCAGTTCTATCAACCACCCCTCAAAAGTCCCCTGTGCCCCTGCAACCACTTATCTGCTTTTTGTCTCTATGGTTTTGCCTTTCCCAGAATATAAATTCACATACATTGAACCAACAGAATGCAGTTTTGGGGCCTGCCTTCTTTCACTTAGCATGATGCTTCTGAGATTCACCCATGTTAGTGCCAGCATCTGTAGTCTGTTTCTTTTTATTGCTGAGTACAATTTCATTGTACAGATGTACTACATTTTGTTTATGTGTTCACTAGTTGCAGACCATTTGAGTTATCTCCAGTTTTGAAAAATATGCTGAGAAGATTTAAGAGTAGGGAATGATTTCTTCTGAGAGGACTTCTTCACATACTTAATCTCACAACAATCATAGAAGGGAGGCAAAACAGGTGTTATTATCCCCACCTGACAGATGAAAGAAACTGAGTCAAACAGAAATGACTTGCTGAGAATTTAGAACGGATTTTCACATATTTTGGTATGGCTTAGCAAATTTCAGCACGTGGACTGCCAAGGTAAGATGGATTGTTTTCATTGGACTATTAATACCCCATCTATGCCAGCCTTCTGGTATGAGAAGATATTCTTTAGCTATCAAAGGAGCATTGAAGAATGGGAGGTGGTGATCAGATTTTGTAGTAATAGCTATTTACCAACCTCAGAGCATCTGAACAGTTTGAGAATCTTTTACCAGAGAGACAAAGACAAATTATGGGTTCTAAGCAAACTTTAGGGGCTTTCTGGAAGTGACACTGTATTTCTATCATAAGATAGGTCATAATTTGAAATACAAAAGTATACGTACTGTGCATCTATCTAGATACCTACTTCTGGTTGTCATGATATGGTGCAAGTCTGAGCAGAAACAATTTCTCTTTCAATTTTAATAACTTTTCTGTTTAAAAATACTTCTACAAGGCATATATAAGCTATGCACATTGTATTGCAGAAAATGAGAAAATATAGGTAGGCAGAAAGAAAAAACTTAAAATCATCCATTACCACACCTACTAAGATATGTCCTTCCTTAGGCTCCTCCCTCCCCAACAAAGATTTCTAAATAGCTTTAAAATGGTGCTTCCCTGAAATTATCACTTGGAAGTCATAAAAACATAGGCAAAATCTGTCAACTAATGCAGTGTTGCACCTTCCAGTTCTTTTTTAATGCTACACATTCTATATACATAGTTTTAAAAAATGGGATTACACCCTATCATGTTTTGTAAGATGCTTTCATTACTTAATATCACATAAATATCTCTTTTTGACAACAGGTTCTTAATGGCTGCAAGGTATTCTGTTATATTGATCCATTACATTTATGTGATCATTAAATTGTTAATATTTGCTTACAATGTCATCTTTTTAGCTAAATGTTTTTGACAACCTTAATTCCTTAAGAGAAATCGCTAGAGAGCAATCACTCACTATCAAAGGGCCTGAGGAATACCCCAACAATCCTTGTGTCTCCTGAATAAATTTTTCCTCATTAACTTTTTATCTGGAAAAGTTTTAAGTCCACAAAGGTTAACATTTAAGTCAGTTCCCAGATTGACTTTACTGTCTTCCTCTTCCCTCCCTTTCCTTTCCCCTCCTCTCTGTACATCCCACCCTGAATCATTTGAAGAGAAGTTACAGAAATCTTCTGGATCATTTTCTACTTTTCCATATCCAAAACATATCACCTTGGGGAAACTGAGACAGCTCAATCCATTCTTAGGTCGAGCTGGAACCACAATGTTTGACTCCTAAAACAATGTCATTTCCCTAAGTAAATATAAAGGGAATTTAAGGGACTCTCAGCTAGTATGACCCTTTTTCCAATCCTTTTTTCCTGGTTGAAGAGGCTTCTGTTCAGTGTTTGATTTCTGCCCATACTTCTCAGTTATGCCTAGTGTAATAAAAAATCCACTGGCTCAAGAGCCATGGGATTTGAATTTTAGGCCTAGCTCTGCCCCTAACAGAGAGGTAGGTAAACTTCTTTGGACTTCAGATTCTTCATCTGAAAAACTGCTAGTAACACTTATCCCATAGTACTACTGCAAAGATAATGTGATAGTGGACAAGCTAGATTCCTTTCGGGGATTAGGAAAGAAGATTAGAAAGAACATTTACTATACCTGGAAGAACACCTCGTACCTGAAATCTTTGTTGGTGACAGGAAATATGTCAATGGCAAAGGGTTTTACTGTCACCTCCCGAACAGGCCCTTCATCATCTCTGCCATCTGGTGAATTTGTTCCCATCTGGAATCTCCCACCTGGTAGCTGGACCATGCTAGTAGCCTGCCCATTCCCTACAGAGAAAAAGGAGTCATCAGCAATATATGTAAAGGTTGCAATATTTGGATCATATGTAATACTCATAATGGTATAATAAAAAATGAAGGCTTAAAAAGATGGCTTTAAATTTGTGTTCTGTCAATTTGCTGGGTGACCTTAGGCAAATTACTTAATCTGAGTTTCAATTTCAATTTCTTCATCTATAAAATGGGGATAACAGTTATTTTCATAGGTGTGGCTGTATAAATTAAAATAACACATAAGAAATGTTGAGGACTTGTTAATTATTCAACAAATGTTTTATTTCTCCATTCTTCTCCACAGCCCTTTGTCCCAGCTACGTAGATCTACACACTATACCCTGAAATAAGGCATCGAGCACCTTTCAGCCCATACTACTGCCCATGCTGTTTCTCTGCCTCCTCTCCAACTGTCGAACTCTTATCAATTCTTAATGATTTTCACCATTATAACATATGCTCCAGAAAAGAAAGAACACCTCTTCTGCCCATGTATCCCTGGCACCTAACACCAGAGCACAATAATTGAAAGAGCGCCTTTGGACTTGCTGTTTCAACACCTCAGAAAATCACACTGAAAAGATCTTTAACTCAACCTTCTTTTTAACAGGAGGAAACCAAAACCCAAAAAGGAAAATATCTTAATAAGCTAGTTAGCAGGACACAGGACTAGATCCAGGTCTCTTTACCTCTAGGCCAGTGCTATTTTCACTAGACCACACTTCTCTGGGTTGATGTACTACTTTATGGTTATGTTTCTACATAAGGATATTTAAGTACCACAAGTTCCTCAAAGGCACAGTCCATGTCTTTTCATGTCTCTCAGGATCCTATCTTTGGCCCTCTTCTAATTCTGACTCACTCACTCTGATGATTTCATCCACTTCAAGAGGAAAAACAATGGAGCAACAAAGTCTCAGATTAAAAGGAAATTAAGAAACGACATACAATTGTAATGTACGACCTTCATTTGGACACTAATTCAACCAGTGAACTGTAATTAAAAAACACTTACAGTAGGTGAATTGGAACACTAACTGGATGTTTAATATTAAGAAGCACTCTTAGTATTTTAGGTGACAAAAGAATTTGACATTGCTTCGGTGGGTGCGTGTGACTTGTTTTCTTTTTGGCTTGTCAAGCTATTTACGAGTAATACCGCATAATTCCTGAATTCACTTCAAAATGGCCCCAGGGTAAGGGGAAAGTGGGAGATAACCGAATACTAGCTACTGTTATTTAAACCAGGAGACGGGTATGTGGGGCCTCGTTATATTCTCCATTTTAAGTTCGAGAGATCCAAAATAATACAAGTAAAAAAGAAATGAGCTATGAGTTAACCAGCCAAGCTAGCCGCCTCCGGCTGCTCTCACCCGCGCAGGAAGCGGGCTGAGGGGTGACGTCTCATCCCTCCAGGCGGGGCGTTGCACTCGTTTCCTGTTGCCTCCCGGGCAAATGGCGCCAGGGCAGGCGGGCAGGCCGGCACACTAACTTAGCGCGAGCCACGGGCCGCACAGGAGCGGCGGCTGGGTCAACAGCAGCAACCAGTTTACCAGGCCGGGTCCGCAAGCCTCGGAAGCACGCCGAGCGGGTATAACGATCCGTGCGCCTCCACACCGTGCATGCGTTCCGCACGCTCTACGTAAGCAGCCGTCCGCGCGCGCCTGCGCACTGCTCCCACGAGCATGCTCGACCGCGGAAAGAGCTTTCGATCTTGTGAACCTGGCGACACCTGGGGTCAACTCGGTACACGTGGAACCAGTATGAAAAAGTAATTCTCCCAGCGTTAGTGTTAACTGGCCCTGGCACTCCAGCAGCTCCTTCATTGCCCTGTGAATATCTGAACTGATTTCCTTCCCTTACGTTCATATCTGTGCGCTGGAATACCATTGAAAGATCACAGAAAAGGTTTCAACATTTATTGCACACTCACTACGGGCAATTGCCCAGTCCTCAAAATACAAAGCTTAGCAACACACATTATCACCTTCAAGAACTGCAGAAATACACGAACTGTATAAAATCTTTTTGGAAACGAGATTTGTAATTTGGGTTAGAAAAAGACTGGAGAGTTTGGGTTATTTCAGCATAAGCTAAAAGCTCAGGTGTTAAAATGCGGTCTGAACACCTCTCATCTAGCCCATGCCTCAGTGTCCGTTTTACCTCTACTACCTGTATTTTAAGCCACTTCATACTTTTAACTTCCAACTCCCTTGCTTGTATTTCACCCTTTCTACCCACCATGACCTCTTCTCTGGGAAGCATTTTAGCAAAGCTACTTCAAAAATATTAAGTCCATATGCACCCCTATGGTTATCACAGCACTTACAACCTAAGTGTCCATCAGTAGATGAATTGATGAAGATGTAGTACATATATACAATGGAACATTATTCAGCCATAATAAAACAAATGCTACCATTTGCAACATGGATGGAGCTAGAGGCTATTATGCTCAGTGAAATAAGCCAGGAATAGAAAGTACCAAATGATTTCACTCATTGGTGCAGTGTTAACAAAGCAAAACTGAAGGAACAGAACAGCCAGACTCAGTCAGACTCCAAGGGACTAGCGGTTACCAAAAAGAGGTTGGGGAAGGAAAAGAGGATTAAAGGGCCTTACAATTAGCACACATAATATAGGTAAGGTCAGGGGGAATGCAGTATAGCACGGAGAAGACAAGTACATGACTCTACGGCATATTACACTGATGGACAGTAATACAATGGGGTGTGGGGGTGGGGACTTGATAATATGGATGAATGTTAGAACCACAATGTTGCTCATGTGAAACCTTCATGAGATTGTGTATCAATACCTTAAAAAAAAAAATTAACAGTCCAACTGATCCAACAGTTTACTCATTGGCACTTATACTATGGAAATAAGGATAGTTTCAAAACCTTGTTATTTAAGTGTTATTCATATTAACATAAAAATTTAATACCTAAATACTTAATAAAAGGGTACTACTGGATAAATTAAAATACATCCATTAGAAATTATTAAACCATTAAAATTTGTTCAAGGAATATTTAATAACAAGGTAGATAACATGTATTTTTGTATCACTGAAGCAAAAGCAATACATCCTGTTCACTGGGTAAAAACAGCCTGTTTTATGTGTATACACTGCAGTGCAATTAAAAAATACTGTAATTTTAACTTCAGAACTTCAGAATTTGAATAGGTGCCACTGTTCTCTCTTTTTTTCATATGGAAAAAGAAAATTCCTTTGAAAATCATTTGATGCCCCAAAATTCCATAGCTGTACTCTTTGAATCACTCTGGAAAGTCTTCATGATTCTAATACAAAGGAAGCTTCAACCTTTTAGAGAGGACATTCCAGCTCTCATGATCTCATCAACCAGGAGAATGTTGGTAGCAATCACAGTGCTGAAAAGAGGAAAAATCAGATGGGCTCAGATTTGAGACATATATTGTAATTCAATTCAATTTCCAACTAAACTACAAATTTCCCCCTTTCCCCCTCCATTCACAGAAGGCAACCTGGGTTACTTTCTGATGATTACATTTTATGGAGAAAAAGGTAATTAAATAGAACATAACCAAATTAAAAGAACATGCTGATTCCCTGAAGTTATTTTAGTATCACTGACTTTCCCAAACTTACCAGGAGTGAAGCAGCTGTTTCTTTACACAATAGTTATCCCATATGCCTACTTCTGCTGCTACCATTGGCTCACCTGAAAAGTAACCCAGTATTCTTAAGATCACAAATATAGCACAGGTCACAAGATCATGTCTAAGGGAATAAGTATTTTGCGCTGCTTTATCATTGATTACTCTCATTATCCAAAGTTCTTCAATCAGCCCAATTCTGTACTCCAAACTATGATTCCCTGTACCCAGTATCTTTGATGAGTGGCTGATCTCTACTTAGAAGACTTCCGGTGATAGGGATACTCTATTTGGTTGCCAAATGTTTGAAAAGACCTGTTTCTCTGGACACATTCCTTTTAGTCCTTATTCAAGTATAGCACTTTCTAGCCGAAATGGTGTTCATTGCCCTCATTCCAGAAATATTTTCTGTTAACCTGAATGTAATGTTGCCGTTGACAAGAGGTCTTACCCATACTGCATGAATGTACCTCAGTTCTCTCTCTTCCACTTTGTATTTATGCTTTATGTTGTTACACTGGCCTAAGACCAAAGCTTTAATCATTTCATTAGATCTGGTTTCCTCTTCCGGCATTATTTGCTATCCTCAGCCTTTTTTCAACCGTATGATCCCCCTAATTAATTTTCTTCTCAACGTCCCTGATAAAAAAATTGAGTGAAACAAGCCCAATATGAAACCTATTAGCCTAAACCACTTGATTCAGCAACAAATCTGTACTCTTTCAAAATTACTCAAACGTCTACTCTACTTCTTTCATTACTATGCCGTCGTATTTCAGAACCCATAGTTCCCTGAAGGCACTGGTTTCAAACTGCAAAGCAAATCAAGTCTTTTGTTTCCATTTTTTATCCTGTCTGGCTTTACCTCACCTGCACTATTTATTTAGTTCTCCCCTCAAACAGCTGCACTCTTACCTGTGTTCAAGTCGACACCCACCAGTTGACCTGATTCTGAATGTTCTGCTTGAACTTTAACTAGTGTTTCCTGAAGATCAAAACCAGAGTTCTGAGCAAGAACCTAAAGCAAACAAATTTAATACTCTTAAAAACAGGATCTAAGTGGTAGTCAAGTCTACAATAAAATGACAGTATTTTCAATTAATATTTTAAAAAGCCTTCATAAAATCATGAAGACAGATCAGGACAGACCAGTATTTATGTTCACTTTGGAGAATAACTAGACATTTGCTACTGACTCACCCACACCAAGCCCAGCAATACATTGGTCATAAACTATACCCCCAAATGAACATACTATAGAAAAATCACAATACTGATTACAGTTTAACTAAAAAATACCAAACCAAACAAAAAAACTTGCACTTGGATTCTAACTCCTACACTGCAAAACCTCTTTAAAGTATTTTTTTTGCCATCTGAAGGTTCAGGTATTCAGGTTTTCCTTCCAGAGGAAACAAATACATTTGGATGAGAAATACCTGTTCTAGCTAGTGTCAGGGAGAAAACAGATCCATCATGTTTATTCAATCAATATCCACATTATGAAAAATCCCACATTATCAAAAAGTTTTCATCAGCTGAATCATTTTGGCATAGTTTAGAAAACTGACAGGTATTCATACCTTGGGAATAATGAGCAGTGCATCAGCAAAGGCTTGAACTCCAAGTTGGGCTCTGCCCTTAACAGTGGGCTTGTACTTAATCAGGGCTTCTGCCATTGCTACTTCCACTGCACCAGCACCTGGAACTACACAGCCTGTTGGATGGGAATGGGGGGATGGGGTTGGGGAAGAAATGCTAAGCTACAGAAGACTGTAGAATCAATTTTAAGAAAATATACAAAGTACACATAAATGACATCCGCAATTTCTTAAGAATTCAGGTATAACCATAGCAATTTCAATCTTACATTCGAAAGCAATATAACCAACATATCAAAGAGCAAAATGATTCAATTTAACTAGTACTTGGAAGCTCTTATAAGTTCTTAGTTCATTTTATTTGTATCCACTTTTTAAAATGATATGCTATGGAAAAAACAGCATACCATCATAGCCATTTTAAAGGGGAGACTAACTTTTGCATGGTGTCTGGCTGTGTAAACTACTTATAAAAAGAACACAGTATTCAGCCATGCCTTTTAGACTAGCAAAAGGAATAAAATTTAAATACACTCAGAATCTTACCATCATCAATAGCATTTTTAACAGCCCTCAAGCCATCTCTTATTGCATCTTTGATTTGAGTAAGTGTGTGCTTATTTGGTCCTTTGACCAATAATGTGACAGAGCGTGGATTGTTACATTTCTCAATAAAGGTGAACTTCTCTTCTCCCTAGGTGAAGAAGAGAGAGTGTTTTCAAAAATAGTATTTAGCTGTCAAATAATGAACAGAGGAAAAAGCTTATCATGTAATGGTAAGTAGCATATTAATAGAGAACACTGATCACATTAAAGCAATTTCTTAAAAAAGAAAAAGCACATAATTATTTTCCCATGAATGGCTTACTGTTAATATACATAAACTACTGAAGTGTACATGAACAAAGCAAAAATCTGACCCTGCGTTTTAATTAATTTCTACTATTGAAGAATTCATGAACCATAAAGTAATACCACCTTCTGAAAGAAAACACACTTACCAATGTGTACTCATAGACCAGTCCTGCATGTCCCAAACAATTAGGACTCAGGTCATCAAGAGAATTTAGAGGTATGCCACCACAAGCAAGAGTCAGCCTGAAATATTGAAATGTTTTAAGGAGGATATGTAAGTGATTTCACTAATTGGGTTAAAAGAGAAAATTCATTTTCAGGAAGCAATTTTTCAGAATTACTTAATAAAATTACATTCGGGATGTATTTTAACTTAAGCCTTTCTGTTCACCAGTAGCCAGCCAAACAGTGGTCTTTCCTTATAATTCCATTTGAACTACTCTCCCCAAGTCAGCACTTTTCTGACATGAAATGTAAAGGTGGACATAGAGCTCTTCATTGTGGTGAGTTCTATGAGAGAAAGTGTTACTCTGAAATGCTTTGATGCTATCTCTTGACATAGAAAAACATGTACACAACATACGTTACGGTTTAAAAATAAAAGAAGTATACCTAATAAATTTTCCTAATAGTATTATTCACAAAAGCCAAATGTCTGACAGAGAAATGGATAAACAAATGTGGTATATCCATACAATGGGGTATTATTCAACTATAAAAAGGAATTGGTTTCTGATACTTGCTACATGGATGAACTTTGAAAACATCATGCTAAGTAAAATAAGCCAGACATGAGGACAAATGTGATTCCTTTATATGAAGTGCCAAACTCAGACAGAAAGTAGAACAGTATTAACGAGAATGTGGGGCAGAAATGGGGAGTTACTGCTTAATGGGTAGGGTTATTAGTCTACAATGATGAAAAGGGTTCTGGAAATGCATAGTGGTGATGGCTGCAAACATGAATTTAACAATGCCACTGAATTGTACACTTCAAAAAATGGGTTAAATGATAAATTTTATATTATGTATACATTTTATCACAGTAAAAAATGTAAAGTAAGTAAAGGAAAAAAGCAATAATCCCAATTAACCTGCAAAACAAGTAAACTTTACATCACACAGAAATTTTGCTATCCATACCTTTCCATATTTCTCCTTTTGGCTCTGCGGAGAGCTACTATGCCTTCTTTAGCAAGAGCATCTAGAGAAAAAGGGTCAATTCCCTGTAAAATAAAGGTTAGTTTCAGTATTTCACCTTAAAAATAAAAATGGATGAAACAGATCAGCTTACAGAGCAAAATTTCATTCCTACCTTTTGATTAATAACAACAAATCCTTTATCTGAATCACCACAGACTTTCTTTTTCAGTTCTATTATTTTTTTAACTCTATCTTCAATGAATTTCCTTTCAGCTTTTACTAGTTTCTCTCGCTCTTCTGCACTCTTGTAAAAAAAGCCAGAATTCACTTCTCTATTAAAAAGAAAATTTACAGAAAGGGGGGGAATTTTTTTTTGAGTAGATGCTAAGACAGCAGCTTCAGAAACTGTTGATTTTATAAATTTACATTTTCAGAGGCTATTCCCTTTAGACCCTCCAAACCCAACTGAAGCATTCATGTCCTTACAGTGGGGGAACTGAGTCTCACAAGTGAACTGCCCAAAATACCAGGCTCCTCCACCCCTCTGCCACTTGTAAGGGATTACAAACTCACGTTTTTTCATATTCTAATGACACATTGCATGTCAGGATGTATACATCTTCTACTCTTTTTTTCATATCAGGATGCCGTGCCCCATGGTCCAAAACAAGACCTCTGATTAAGCTATTAAAACACATTCAAAAATATACTGTTACTGATTTCTAGATGAGATGTAACACATGCTAACAAAATTAAAACACCGAATTGAAGCTGTATTGATCAAATTCACACAATAACTATTTCTTGAGATATGTTAACAAGACTTTTGGGTGAAACCTAGGCAGGTTCAACAGTGAAAAATCAGTATTTCAGAACATGACAAAATCAAGCCATTCAAACAAACCTAACCACTGCATCTTTTACAGAAAATTCTGCAAAGAAATAGTCTCAATTGGTAGGCTATCAAATTGTGATTACTTCTTTTAAAAGATGTTTTCAAACAAGGTCTTTGGGGAAAAAATTCCCCAGCGGTCTCTCATTATGCTTTGTTTCCAAATGCCAAATAACCGATATAGTTCATTTTTTAGAATCATTCTAAGTATAAACACATCATACTATTAATTTCAAGAAATACTAAGTAAATTAAATACTCATCTAGGCAATATACATTAATTCAAAGACCACTCCCCAAAGAAAAATCAGCCAAGAAATATGTACTGTATTTAATACCCATAAATTTGTAAGCATACTTTTTCAGTATTTCACTTTGTTCTACCACCTACCTTGTATCAGTTTCAGACTTATGTTTCATCTCCATGATCTCAACCATGAAGAGATCAATAGGTTCATCTTGTTTTCTAATGGCCAAAATGGAGTCCACAACAGCCTAGGAATACAAACACTAAATGAATCTGATTTACAGAAGCTGAGGCACTTAATGTTGTTTTCTGAAGAACAAATTCAACAAAGGTTTAGTTTCGTGACCTCAAAATCTCTGAATTGACCTAAATCTTTTTCTATAAGCTAACAGAATGCATTGTTTTTAAAGGGCCAAAGTAATTTACATTTCTGAATTCTCAATTTGTAATTAAAAGAATCACTGATTCCCTTTATTAAAAATACTGATGACAGAAGCATTTTGTAATGAAATCCCTGTTTTATAAACCTTTTAATGAAAACTCTGATTATACCTTTATAATGTGATCAAGTATACTATTAACTGATTTTCTCATTTTGTTTCCTAGGGACACAGATCAGGTTATCACTGCCACAAAAACAAACAACTTATTTCACACAGTGTAATACTGTGAAGACTTTACATAGCACTCTGTAACTGGAACTGTTAAGTTTATCAATGTTTCTAATATCAGGGTTTTTTAGTATAGGTGTATTATACCAGATACACCAAATTTAACACGTACCTCTGTTAAGACATCAGCAAGTTCAGCATGAACTTTAGTATGCAGAGATGTTCTGGCCACATCTACAAGCATTTCCCTGTCCATTTCTTTGCTTACTTTGACTTGTTCCAAAAACTGAAGTGCCTTTTCCTTTGCAGCTTCAAATCCTTCTGTTATTATTCTGGGATGAAGACCCTATAATATATATATACTATTATAAAACCAACTTATATTAGAGTTCTTCAATTAGATTTAACTATAGTTCATGATGAAGTAAATTTTTGAAGGGATACTCTGGATCATTCATACCCTTTAATACAATTAATATAATGTGCTGACTTTCTGAATACAGTTGAAAGGATAGAGTCCCTTCAATGCAGAGGAAAGGACAGACATTGCTCTAGCACAGAGTCAAAGCCAAGGGAACTATAAAGCACACTTGGGTGTTCACTGTGCAAATCACAGGTAATAATGGCAAACTCACAACTATGTATCAAAACAACTTGCAGTCAACTGGACCAGTGTATCTTTTCTCTAGGTTATCTTGATAATTTATGTCTTTTACTAATACAATGACTAAGAGACTAAGACTCTGCTTTCTCTCTCTTCCCAGGAAATTCTTCCTGACATTGGATTAGTGCTCACAGAAGTTTGCGTTAACCTTGGAACTACTCAGGGCCAAAAGTTTGTGGAATTCTTAAGTTTTTGGTTGGCCTTTTCCTTATAAATATGAATACTCCTGAATATCTCATTTCTAGATCTCAACTATTAAACTATATTATAGATAGATATAGATCATATATGCAACACCACTTGATTAAAAAAAAAATCTCTCAGGCCAAAGAAGGTTCCTAAGTTGTCCAGGATCACAATAAATTTGAGTTAGACCAGGATACAGACTCTGGGTTCCTAGATTTAAGCCCTCTGCTCTTTACATTCTACTATATGGCCTAAACTACTATTATACCTTAATTTGTATGAACAAAATCGTATTACTTCTCAAACACAAAACATCACCGAAACATGAGAATCATATATACTTCAGAAATATAGAGATCCGCCTGTTTCAGCAGCTCCCCAATGATTAGAACATTGGAAGTGGTACCATCACCAGTTATGTCATCCTGGGCTGTTGCTACTTTGGCTATTAAGGAGGCTGTCGGGTGCTGGATTTGCTGAAAGCAAAAAAAGAAAAAAATTATTTAAACTTCAAATAAAACACTCCAAATATACTTTAAAATATATAAAGGTATATATTTCCACAAACATGCAAGTGGTCAGCTATATAATATGCTGGTTAAAAACTCACCATTAACTATTTTGTGTATTAGTTTATGATAACCAAAACATCTTCATGTATAAATTTATTTCTCAGAGTATCTCCACTTTACTGATGAGAAAATGTGAGGCTCAGTTAAGGTCTACTTAAGGTGGTAGGAGCTAACAATGAAGTTAATTATTTCAAACCACGCGTGCCTCTTTATGACAAATCTAAGACTCTTGTGAGAATAAACCAGGTTAAACAAGGGGCCTTCTAAAATGAAAGCCCAGCAGAGTTCATAACTACTTGGCATTGACAAAAGAAAAAGAAAAAATAGCCCTCTTAGCAAGTGGTTAGTAGATGCTAAATCACTACGTGGAAAGGTTTAAGAACAGGATATTCATCTTGCCTCCAATGTCACTAAGACTCTTAACTACAAAGGTTCCAATCAAGGCTCCTGACTGCTTTCAGTTTATTTTATTCTCCTTTAATCTGAAATAGTTCTCCAGCCTTCCCTGTCTTTGGGGACGCTGACAGTTTTAAGAATCTAGGCCAGTCATCTTGCAGACTATTACCTCAATTTGCTGATGTTAACTATTTTTGGCAAGAATACTACATAGGTGATACTGTATACTTCTCACTGGATGTGTTTTATCATTTTGTTAAACTGCAAATGTTAAATGTGCTTCTATTTATGCTGTACTTCACAAAGACACTAGATATGGATTTTCTAACATCAAGCTTGAACTATAACTTCAATTATTCTCTGCTACCACAAGCCACCACTTAGCTAAGAACAAAAAACCCTACACCTTCCAGGGTTAGCTAGTCCTTACTGAAGATACTGGATGTTGAAGGCAACCGTACGCTACTATCAAAACCGTGAACTTTATTTTGAACTCAAAACAAAGCAAGTCATTTCTTTTTCTTGTATTTTAAAAACAGCTAGGTTTGGGGGATTCAGGTATGAGTAAAATGATTGCTCCTCTCAAAAATCTCCCCTTTTCTTGATGTTAGAAAAGCTGTATCTAGTATCTTTTTAATGTAATTTTTATAAAATAAACTACAGAGAAGCACATTACACATTTACTGCCTAACAAAATGATAAAACGAACCCACTGGGAAGTATACAGTATCACCTTTGTAGTATTTTTGCCAAGAATAGTTAACATCCAGCAAATTGAGGTAATAGTCTGCCAAATGACATGACTGGCCTAGATTCTGTCTGTGTCCCCAGGGAAGGCTGGAGAACTGTTTCAGATTAAAAACGGTAGTTTTATCTCCACTCCAGCTGGAGGTGGGGAGATGAGATATAACAAAGAATCATGTTTTGTAAAGAGAAAAAGTCCTGTCGCATTTTGCCCAATTCTGTCAATCACTCTCAGTTTTTCAGATTTTATGAGAATTTCATTAACTACAATCCTTTTTAACCAAGGCCTTAAATGGTTAAGGGTAGGGATTCAAAAAAGTCTATCAAGACTCCCGGGCTCCTCACTGTACTGTACTGTCAGTACTATTACTGATTACATTTCTTATTCCACTCGCTCCATTGTCTGAAAGACTACCTGTTGAAAGCCAACGAATATGATTTTCTCCCACTTTGAGAACGAACATTAAAAAATTTCCTACAGTTAAAATGTACTACGGAAAACCAAGACATTTCTGAACCTAGTACCGTGGTCTCTCACCATTTCATGAAGGAGCACATTGCCATCTTTAGTAAGCTTGATGTCTCCAGCACCAGAAACGAGCCTGTTCAACGGGCAGAAATGAATCACAGTGTGACTTTATCAACGGAGACTACACTAAGAGTGCCATAAAAATCAGGCTTTACCCACATCCTGGAGAGGGGGGCCAAAGAATTGGTTGGCCCTCTCCTCCCGGTAGTACGAATGGTGCAGGGCCCACCCCTGCCTTCGGGGAAAGTCCGTCCAGTCCTCAGGGTCGCGTCAGTCCCAGGGCGCTGGGGAGCGCTGCGCACGCGGGCAGCTTGGTCCTCCGCCGGGACGGCAACGACCGCAAGAGAAAATGACCGGGGCAGCAAACAGGGCAGACCAGGAAAATGCGGGGAAGAAGGGCCGAAGCGGCGAACGCGGAGCCCGGAGGAGGCGGACCGGAGGCCGCAATCCTCGGCCTAGGCCCGCAACAGCGCGTGGTGCGCGGCGCCAACCCGGACCTCCCCGCCAGCCCCGCCTTACATTTTCATGGTGCCCTTGGGCCCCAAATTGGTCCTCAGCACGTCCTGAAGCCCCCGCGCCGCGCTGATGTTGACCGCCAATGCCGCCTGGGCTCGGGCCACCTCGGCCTTGGGGTTCAGGGTCTTCACAGCCGCCATAGCTGACCCAGCACAGGAGTAGGAGGAGACTCGGCGCGCAGAGTACCCGGAGGCTGCTCAGCGTGGCCGGCGGGGCTGCCTACGTCTTCTGGAAAAGTCGGTCGCGTCCGGCCCGCCCCCAGTGTGCCCGCGCGCAGCTGCCATTGGGCCGCGGGGCTGGCCGGCGCTGCTCATCGGCTCGCGCACTCATGGCGTACTCGGCACCGCCCCTCGCGCCCCAACCTCGGCGCCATTGTGCACGGAAGGGGCCTGTTCTTAGGTGTTCATAGGCGGCAGGAGTTCGCGGGGCCGCGGCGTTGCGGCGCTGCTGCTGGCGTGCGCCCCGCCTTCCGGGACCAGAACCTGACGACGCAGGCGGGGCGGGGCCCGGGTGGCGCCCTCTGTGCGAGGCAGGACCTATTAGCTGCGCGTGACTGGGGAGTAGGCGGCCCGTTCCCAGACGTCTCTGGCCACAGGGTGTAGGGTGCTGAACCTCTCGCGCGGTTTTCCCGTCCTGCGTTTGCGTCTTTTATTCTAGTCACTAGAGTTTTATTGACTACGTTGTGTGCTTGGCGGTGTTCTAGGTGCTGAGTGGGGCGGGTAAGGATCCACACCCAGTTGTCTAGATCATCTAGGCTTAGGGAAGATGAAGGGAAAGAATGTAAGGTGGAGAGTGCTAGATGCCTTTAGAAATCTACAGAATTGGTGAGATGGCAGTTGGGAAATCAGTCACTCTACCCATCCTGCTTAGGACACCCTGCTGAGGCCTCATGCCCTCAAGGCAAGTTTGAAAATTCAAACAATTGAGAAGTGGCGTCCAGTCGTTGACGAAAAGTAGTAGAAAATGTTCACAATTGTTTTCTGGTATCCAGTCCTCTTCCAAATACCAGGTATTGAGTAATGATTTGTATTTGATTTTTATAGACAATACCGAAAATTGTACAGAATTCAAAAGGTGGCAAAGGATATAGGGGATTAAGTCTTCCTCCTCTAGTTGAACTTCGTCTAGACAAGCACAGTTTTAGGTACTATGAATTCCCCAGATGTTTTCTCAGTTTACAATATATATATATAAGCTTTTCCCCCCTCATAAAATAACAGTTTATAATGCACAATTGGGTGTATTATGCTTAAAGTATCAATTATACCATATCAATACAAATAGGGATTCTTCTTGATTAACTGCTGCATGATGTTCTTTGTAAGAATGACTTAATTGATCAATCACCTCTGGTTGACGTCTAGGTTGTTCCAATCTGCTATTCAAGCTGCAGTGTATATCCTGTATATCCTGGTATATATATACATATTTAAAATATAAGTGGGTTTGTATATTTGAGAATCACAAAAGCATGAAACGTTGGAAGGAGATTTGTGATTAGTACTTCAGACATTACTTGGTGTGCATGCAGATTTATTTTACTGTTAGGGATGTATGGGAGACATGAACAGAGATGAAGATGGCTGAATTTCAAGCATTTGCTTGCAGATAGGGAAAGGAATGGGAAGACTTCCACTCTCCAGAGGTGCAAACTTTAAGGGGAAAACAAAAACTTAGTAATTGAGATCAATAATATTTTAATGCAATATTTTTAAAATATCAGATTTCAAAAAAATCCGCAAAGAACAACATCAGTTTTAAATTACGAATCTCCACTCAAAGTCTCAGCAGAACAGAAGGATCTATGTGATGCCTGTAGAGGCAATCTATTTGCATATATATTCTGCTATACTGGTTATTACATTTTCAAGCAAATTAATTATCATTATATGCTGCAAAATAAAGTAGAAAGAAAGTGTTGCCTATATGCTAATGTGTTTGTGGAATGGGAGAACTTTAGAATGTCTTAGAGAATTTACAACAAAAAGTAACATTATGCGAGTAGATCCATTTTAGCCCATGATTAAAGATATTGAGGCAGCAGGTGTACAGCCATTTGATTCAGGAGGGATTTCAATAAGGAAGAAACATTTAAGGAAAGTATCCTAATGAGGTAGGGTGATATATTAGAAAGAATCCTAGAGTCAAACAATTTGAGTTTAAATTCTAGTTTTGCAGTGTTTACCAACCAGTGTGCTATCTTGGACAAGTTACTTAAATTTTGACTAAATTTTCTAACCTATAAAGTAGGGGCAGGTGACATCTTAGAGAAAATTAAATGAGACTACATGTGTAACATACTAGTATTGTGCCAGACATGGAATGTGTTAAGTATTGCCACTATTACATTCATATAATTAACTATAATTTTTATAGCATATTCACATTCAGTGCCTTATTTAATCCTAACATGAAGCCTTTGAAGTTAACAGGCCATGTATTATTAAGCCAGTTTCCCAACTGAGTAAATCAACACAGGTTAAATGACCAACTCAAGGTCACATTGTGTCCTGTTAGGGGAGAGCCAGAAACCTAGGTTTTACTCCTGACTCCTCCCGTTGCCTGAGACCCCATATCCACATACTCCCTGAATGTTTTTGTGTTTACTTTCTAGATACCACCTCTTTCTACTCTACTTTCTTCCATCCTCATTGCCACAACTCAGGTTTAGGCCATCATTGTTTCTTGTTTAACTACTTGTATAGTGTCCTAAGTAGTTGCTCCATCTTAATTTGTTGCTCCATGTTGCTACTGGAGCAGTCTATCAAAATTAAATCTGTAAGCTATAGCTCTACTTATAGTTCCTCAGTTATCCTCAAGACCTTAGAATGAAATCTAAATGCCTTAATTTGCTTCCAAAGTCAGTGACATCTTGTGCCTGCCTTTTGAAGCTTAAAACCATTCTCTATTTCTCTCTCACTTTATGATCTGGTTATTTTGAACTTTTCAGTTCTTGGAGCATTCAACCTGCCTTCAGCCTGAAACACTCTTCAGGGACCCCTTGGCTCCTGCCCTCACTCTCATGCCCCATCCCAATATCCATCCAGTGTATATAGAAATAAATAAGATCCTTAATCCTCAAGAAGTACATACCCTAGTTAGGGAAATAAACTGTAAGATAAAATAACAGTAAAGTGAAAAGAAGATTAAAGATGGTGGTGTGAGAAGAGAGACAGAGGCTTCCTCCTAAAACTAGATACAATTAGAAAATATAGTTGGTGCAACTAATCCTGAGAGAGCAACAGGAAAGAGGATGGCATCACACTGCACAAACCTGGAGAAAAGAGCAGACCTCAGCGCACACGGTAACATACCGGACCTGTGGCTCCATGGGACCCGAGCCTTTCCCCCACCCCAGCTCACCGACGGGAGGAAGAGAAACGGAGCAGGGAGGGAGTGGAAGGCTTGGGACTGCTGATTACCTAGCTCCAGAGATCTGTGCTGGGAGCACAAACCTACATTTCATGGTGCTTTCATGAAACTCGCATGACTACTGGGTTGGAAAGTTAATACAGGCAGAGTTCCTGGAGAGACTGGGATTCTGGCCACTTGTGGAAAGCAGGGATCCATGTCTGGCTACTCTGGGACAAAAACTTATACCTGTGTGGCTGGCTCACTGGCTCAGGCAGTGGAGATAGGCACAGCAGCCGGGAGGTGAGGAACAGCTCTTTCCTCCCACCAGGCACCAGTACCACTCCCCTGCAACCACCTACATTGCTTCAGGGGCTGAGCAGTTCCAGAAAAGAGATTCTGGACACTAGAGGGCGCCATATACAAACATGAAATGCCAAAGGAACCTTGTCCAGAGTAAAATTATTAATACAACTCCCAAGAAAGATTTAAATGATATGGACCTCGTGACTCTTTCTGAAAGGGAGTTCAAAATAAAAATCATCAACATTCTAATGGAGGTACGGAAAGACATCCAAGAACTCAGGAATGAATTCAGATCGGAGATCCAATCATTGAAGAACACGATGGAGGGTATTAAAAGCAAGTTGGATATGGTAGAGGAGACAATAAATGAAATAGAAACTAGAGAAGAGGAATTACAAAGAAGCTGAGGCACAGAGAGAAAAAAGGATCTCTAAGAATGAAAGAATATTGAGAGAACTGTGTGACCAATACAAGCGGAACAATATTCACATTATAGGGATACCAGAAGAAGAAGAAGAGAGAGAAAGGGATAGAAAGTGTCTTTGAAGAGGTAGTTGCTGAAAACTCCCCCAATCTGGGGAAGGAGACAGTCTCTCAGGCCATGGAGCTCCACAGATCTCCCAAAACAAGAGACCCAAGGAAGACAACACCAAGACACATAGTAATTAAAATGAGAAAGATCAAGGATAAGGACAGACTGCTAAAAGCAGCCAGAGAGAGAAATAAGATCACATACAAAGGAAAGCCCATCAGGCTAACATCATACTTCTCAGCAGAAAGCTTACAGGCCAGAAGGGAATGGCATGATGTATTTAATGCCATGAAGCAGAATGGCCTGGAACCAAGATTACTTTATCTGGCAAGATTATCCTTTAAATTTGAAGGAGGGATTAAACAATTTCCAGATAAACAAAATCTGAGAGAATTCACCTCCCACAAAGTATCTCTACAGTCTATTTTGGAGGGACTGCTATAGATGGAAGTGTCCCTAAGGTTGAATAGCTGTCACCAGAGGTAATAACCACAGTAAAGAAAGTAGAACAGCTAATTATGAGGCAAATGAAAAATTAAATTAACTATCCTCAAAGTCAATCAAGGGATAGATAAAAAGGACAGAATTTGATACCTAATATATAAAGAATGAAGGAGGAAGAAAAAGGAGGAGAAGGAGGGCAGAACCAAGATGGTGGCATGAGTAGGACAGTGGGAATCTCCTCCCAAAAACATATATATTTTTGAAAATACAACAAATACAACTATCCCTAAAAGAGAGAAAAGAAGACACAGGACAACAGCTGGACTACATCCACACCTGAGAACCCAGCACCTGGTGAAAGGGG